AGCTATTGAACAATTTATTCGCCAAAAAAACTATTAACCATCTCTCATCAGGCAGGTGACGTTGGAAATAATTAGCTGAGATTGAGTGTCCATCCACTCCAAGTCATCCGTGCATGTGAGGGTTCGATTGACGGTTGAGGCAGTAAGTTCCACGGATTTACCATTTTCAAGCAGATCGACATGCAGTCCATCCTAAATCTAACTTTTAGCTTCATCACTTCACCATGAAGGAAAGAACAACACGGGTTTTCTTGATCAATAAAACCGCTATATATCCTCCAAATCGAAAGTAAGCTCATTTTTCGGAGATGGATCATTTTGCAAACCATCAGCTTCTTATTACTGAACTGAGCACAATTTTTTCCCTTTACTAAATCTTTCCACAACCACAAAATGAGGAAGGTGACTGGAAGGTGCAAGAAACTGATTGAAGCAATTGAAAAAAATTTCAGAGATATTGCTTGCTAATGATGTCAGAATTGAATCTTGCTACTCTACCATGCAAACTCAATTGGCAAAGCACAAAACTACCTACGTTTGTGGTTGTTACCTTCAAAGGTTGGCAGAAAATTAGAACTTTCAGGCAGTCTCCGTAACGGAAATCCATATACGTCGATCCTTCCTGTCCCATTTGCGGGCTGACATATATTTCACGACTGCATTGATTACATGGATTTTTTGGATCTAGATCGTTACAAATAACTATTTCTTCTAAAATTCATGATAGGGATATATTCGCGAAAGTCACACGTCCTTACCTCCTGGCGCATAAGTTGTGGACATCTCTGTTGTGGTTGCTGCAATTAATCCAATAAAATATCAACGTAAACTAAATGTAAAAAAAAAACAATTGTGTGATGGAGTGACTACAATGTTAAAATGACTGAAGTAAAGCTTGAAACTAACGTGGTGGTTCGTAGACACAAGAAAGAGAATTGACTGTCACATTTTGCTCTTCTGCGTACCAGTTCCCATTCTTGCATGCAATTTCAACGTTCAGTGGTAACTTAGTAGAAGGATCCTTGTTAGCTATGGTCTGCACTGGTCGCTTGTCACCAATCTGAAGGAAAAGCTATAAAGCATAATGAATCACACGAATGCTTGCGTCCAAAGAGGGAATGAAGAATGTTCTGATGATTAGACATTATGT